AAAAGCTTCTTAAGAGTAGCAGAAATGATGGCATTTTCATTTTAAATTGCAAATGTAATTGCCATTTAAATACCTTTTTGTTTCTAACTTAATTGCTTATTGACAGCAGAAATTCCCCCAAAACACTAATAGAATATTTAACATAATTTCATTTATTGAAAAAAAATCAAGGGAAAATAACATACAGCTATCTGAAACTAGATAGCAAACAGAAAATATCAAAAGCAAATTAAGATAATCTGAACTTCGTGATCTCAAACGTAATTAATGTTCTGTATAAACTTAACACAATGGGTATATGCTTAAATTCATACATTTAAGTATACGGGCAAGACTCAAGAAGTAAAAATGATAGCCTGGAAATCCAGGACAACAATTAGGAGTAAGACAAAAACAAAACAGTCAAGCTAATCCCTATGTCATAGAATTTCCCATCAATTCATTGAAATAAAAGAATACATTGCAGCTCAACTCATGGAAAATTAGTACAATGAAATGAAATTCATTCAGTTGTAAATATTCCCTTGAGAAAACTATTGCAGTTTATATCCAGAGTTTAACCCCTGCCTGAATCCAAATTTTGAATTCTGGTTACTTAACCTCAATATGCTTAACATGGGTGCAGGGTAATGAAATTGTTACTCACAACTTATTGATCTTACATTAGTATAGATTATTAAAGAAATCCATATATAAACATATGGATTATTTCTCTCTTTAATTCTCATTTCTGTTCCTAAACAGATATAATCATATGAGGAATAGATCCTGACTTAAGAGATTTCTTATTTCACTTTCAAGTCTTCACATCTTTCCTTTTCAGTAACAACATAGATGTTTATTTATATACATTATGGATATTCAGCAAAGACTTTATATCATCCTTGAAAAATTTGCTGGTCATTTCATGTTTGCTTTTCTCCAACTTCAAAGTAGTAAAATCCAGACATTATTTAAAAAAAAAAAAACTCTAAGAAAATGAATTAAACTAGTTAGCCACAAAGGGAACACTTTAGGAAAAGAAAGAGCTTGGGATTGACCCTATAATTTTATTGTTTTCACAGAAAATGCAATAACTCCTCATTGACATCAACTGTCCATTTGTAAAAAAAAAAAAAGTATTCCTTCTGCTTTGTTGAGATGAAAATGAAGAAATTAGTAAAGCAGACATAAACAGGAAGCAAATGTATGGAAGCGGGTTTAAATTTTTCCAGTTTAAATAGCTGTTGAGTGGCCCAGATCTTTGGAAGGCACATTTAAAAAAAGTTTTGTGATAAAGTCTATTCAATACAATCCTTTAAAATCATTCTATCAAAATCAGATCAATCTGTCACCATCTTTCAAATTACTAGCTAAAACATACAAACAAAAATTGATCATGAAAAATACTGTAGCCAGTTTTACAGTCAAGTACAGAATTGAATGAATTAATTGTTCTGCAAATTACATATTTCATTGACAGATAATTTTATTATAAACTTTTTAAAATAAAAATGCATGTTCGGTGAAAAGTTAGTACAGCTGTAATTTGTATTTTATCATATCTTAAAATATAAAATAAAAATGGGATTATTAATTTTTACTATTTAGTACATGATATAACATGATATAACTATCTGGCTTCTATTACTAATTCTTATCATTATAATTCATTGCCATGCCGGAGTCAATTCTGTGACACATGAGAAATGAAATACCATTTGTTTTATGTCAGTTGCATGACATTGTCATGCACAATGCATCTTTCAGTTCTCTTAAAGAAAATGGAATGGAATGTAAATGATTTTAACAGTACAGGGAGTTACATGGAATCAGAAAATATTTTAACAAGGGATAGACAGCAGATTGTAATTTGTGATGGAACTATAAGGTTAGTTACCGGGAGAAAAAAAACCCACAAAATACACAAAGAAAAAAACAGACAAATGAGTTATTATGTATGCAAGAAAAAGATTCAGGTAAGAAAAAAACTCAGATGTTTTTAAAAGAAAAATTAAGGAGATTATTTTAAAATACTGCACAATCCATAATATAAATCCTACAATTATGATAGGATAATACTTTTGATATCAGTTAAGATTAACTGAAAAGCAGTAATATTGGGCATTATCTGGCACTTTGGGCAACTTTAGTGAATTAAGTAAATTTCATTCTATCTTAAGATGCCATAGATTTCTGGAGTATGCTTTATATATTGCTACCCAGAAATGATGCCAATCATGATTAATATAGGCCTGATTGTAGAAATGTAAAATGTAGAGAAACAAACATCATTAAAATGATGAAACATTGATGGCAATCCTAATAAACTGGAATAAATTACTGGCAGTAGGAATTATATGGTATATTATCCCTCCGAGAAAACCAAAAGCTCCACTGCAACTTGACATTCCAGAGAGGAACAATGACAGATATGGTTGGTATTCATGATTAAAATGGAAAAGGAGGAATCTGTTGATGGATTTAAGTCATAGTAAATACACCAAAATTAGGAAAGGATTTGCCACAAGAGATGTTTTAGGGTTTTCATTATTGTTCTCAGTAATGTTAAGGAGGGGGCAAGTTAAAACAACTTATATTTCATTCATATGAATCATTTAAAATTCTCTGCATTTTTATTCACTACTTTCAATTAAAGTAACTGAACATTTGGTCTGAAGTAAAAAACACTGATTCCCACAAGTTGCTCATGTATATAAATGACCCAGAATGTAACTTGAGATGTATTTCATTACCATCTCAATAAATCTGATTTCTTTTCCCTTCAGCTTTTATTCTTCACAATCATCGACATTTTCTTAAAAATATAATGAAAATTAACTTTGAGGTACCAGCCAGTTCTCATGAGTTACTGAAGTGTACGTATTCTTACGTGAGAGAGAGTTTAGAAAAAGTTTAGTATTTTATAAATGCTAAATAGTACAACTGAAACTTTCACTTGCAGTACCTTCTTTGTGCAGGATTACTTAGACAAAAAAAGGGAATTTAATTCTTTTCCTAGAAAGGACACATGTATATTAAAATATTTTGAATTTAAGGATTTTCTTAGATTATTTTTTGAGCAAAATCCTCAGTCAAATCACCTGAAAGATAATTGAGACAAGGAAATGAGGTAATCCTTTTATATTTAAAAGAGTTTTTTGATATTATGGTCAGTGGCAGTACCATTGGGGAAGGAAGAGAAGTGACTTAGTTATATGATATATGAGATAGTGATTAACTGATATAAAATTGAAGTCTGGGTGAAGGGAGATTTTTGCAAATGCTAAGCACAGTACCCAATATTATTTACTTTACTCTCTTTGGTTTGATAAAATAGATAATTGACTTTGAAATTTGAAACACATATTCAACAGGACTGATTCAATTCAGATAACATAATATTCATTTACTGGGTTTAGTTCAATCCTACCTCTACATAGGCATTCCGATGTGTCCCCTTTTGAACTATGAAAATATACATTAAATTTCCAGTTTATATTTGTTTCATATTTTACCTAAAAAGGTATATTTTACACGTATTACAAATATAGGAGAATGCATCAGAGAGTTTCTATTAAAATTTGTTCCTACAGACAATAAGGTGTATGAAGCAGTGAAAAATTATTCCATGGTGAACATAACCAGTAAATTCTTTAGCTAATTTTAGTGATCAGTGAACATTGTTCAACAAACACACATACCGCTTGTCATACCTTACCTGGAAAGAGGCTTTATTGAACATAGCTGTAAAATCATATTTTAAATTGAATTATTGAATTTGCACAAACATTTCTACAGATTTGTTTTTAAAAAAATCAAGCTTTGTCATTTTCCACTACATTTTGTTGTGCTTTTTATATTAAGATTTGCAAATGTTATAATTTAATACGTATATCCCAATTAATTGCATAATCACTTTTTTTAATCCTGGGGTGTTGAGAGAACACATAGTAATCATAGTAATAATAATAATCTTTAGACAAAAGTCTTTTTAAATGAAGTTAAAAGCTGAGATAATTTAAGGAAAAGATTTTCAAATTTTTCATAACCAACAGGTTTAAGTGAAATTTTACAATGCATTTGAAAACTGGCTGGTTAAAGGTATGATTTGTCCTCAGGTAGCTCAAAATCATTTTTACAGATTTTTGTTTTTTTGTAAAAGTGTTTTCTTTAATCGTGGTAAAATAATAAAATAATATTTCACAATTTGCACAGTCTGACTAAAGGGCAGAGGCATATTACCCTCGGTGTTTAGAATAAAGCCAGATTAATCAGGCCCAGTTCCGCTGAAGAGTTTGTATGCACTGCAAATCACAAACATTTTCTTGTTCCCTCTCAAGCTAGGGCCGATTTCATTTCAAATGGAGGTTAGAGTTAAAAAAAAAATTTTAAAAAATCACTTTTGAGTTTTACCACCTTCTGCGCTAATGGTTATCTTAACAATCTTTTGCTCTGGTTGACCCATTTAATAACCTGGAAGAAATAAGAGTTGCTTCCATGTCTGGTCTCAATGGAAGTTACTTTCTAATGGACAATAAGCCGAAAGGCCATGGCTGTCTAGGAAGTGAAACAACACATCTCTTGTCTGCATGGGCTTACGCAGTAGCTTCCGTCCTCTTTTCTTCAGAAGCAGCTTTGTTGTCTTGCCTGTGGTTTGCACATGTAGGCTTTGTAGTTAGTTTACAAAATAGTTATTTTTCTTTTTACACAAACCACTGTTAGCAGTGCAAGCTTCTGAGTTGAGAATTATTCAGGCTTGTTTCATTGAAGGCACTTGGTTTCCATGGCAATTTATAAAAGATGGTGGTTTGGTTTCTTCATTGGAACAGATGACAGTAGTTTGGGTGTTCAAGTGGCCACAAGCAAACTCCGATAAGCCTGTGTAATATGTAAGCCCAGGTTTACCGTCCTGGATAGTAGTGCATGCAAAAAGAGCACACAGTTATCTAGCTTAGCCATGGGAGCAAAATAATAATAATAATAATAGTAATAGTAATAATAATAGTAATCATAAAAATAAAGGAGGGTGGGGTGGGGAGGAACATAAATGTTTTAAATAATACTTAGTTGGGGTTATTTTCGAGGAAGGGTAACAGCCAAAGGTAAAAGGGCCTTACATTTATTTAATTCTCTATGCAAAACCTTCTTGAAAGGAAAATAAATGCCAGCTCTTCACGTACCCTGTTTACAGTGAGGTTTTTGTTGGCAGGCCATTAGGTTTCCATGGTAACAAGCAAACTATTCATTTGAAACAAAACCAGCCATGACTTTGTGCTTTGACGAGGATTTCTATAGCTCTTTTTTTTTCCTTTTTTTTTCTTTTTAATTTTTTTAAATTTTTTTTCCAGAGTTCAACCAGATGATGCTGTATTCTTTTTAGCCACAAAGCACCTGTATGTCTCTTCTCTACTCAGGTCAAGATTATCTTTATATGAAGTTTGGAATAAGTTATACTTCCATGATATCTTTTCTTATTTTCAATCTCCAGTGCTTAAAAAAATGTGTTTTTATTATTTTAGAGTCAGTAGTCAGTGGAGGAATCTTTGGTAGTTTGTTTATTCAATGTCCATTTACAAAGACTCTTTCTTCATGCCAGGGCCTGGTGCCTTTACAGCCTCTGCCAGAATAAGGTCACCTTCGAGGACTTAAGATAGAGATGAGAACAATAACTGGGAAAAGCCATAAGTGAACTAAAATCCCAACAGCACCATCAACAGAATCTAGAGAAAAAGAAAACAAATGACAAAAAGTGATAAAGAAATAAGCAAACGAGAGTAAGCATTCCAAGTAGCTATTAAAGATACAAGTTAAGTGAATGAGAAATTTAATCTATGGAACACATGTGGTTAGCTATTTGACAAAAGGAAATTCTTCACAGATTTTCAATTGATGTCATAAAAATACTTATTTGGACTCTATTCACGTGGGCCCATGGTTGAGCTCAGTCTCACAGTTTTGGTAGTTCTGTGAAAATAGACATGTGGGGAAAGTTCTCCAAAATGTTTGTTTTTTCTTTTTCTTTTTCAAAATGCCAGAAATATATAAGCTTAAAGACTGAGAGAAAATTCAATGTTTGATGCAAATTGAAAAGGAATGGTTATTATTAGGGAAATTCACTGATATAACCAAGTAATGCAGGATATTATTTATACATTATGTGATAAATTTTCCCTTGAGCATTTAGAAGTGACATAAAATTCAATGTAGCTAAAGGATAATTTCCTCCAATCAGCCTGGAATTTCCTAATCTAGGTGATGCTTCAGTAAAGTTTCCTGTCTTAGTTGATTCTCTTAGAAAACGGATGTATCCTACCTTAGATTACTAACACAAACATAGCTGATAAGATGTAAGGTTTCAGTGTACAAAATACTTTCAGCTATAGATTGGTGGAACATATCTATAATCCTACCTACTCTGGAGACTGAGATCTGAGGATAGAGCAGAATCTTATCACTGATTAACAGGCAAAAAGATGGAAGTGGAGATATGGGTGAAGTGGTAGAACACAGAGAATGCCAGGCTTGATCTAAAAAGCTAAGGTAGGGGTTGGGAAGGTGGCTCAGAGGTAGAGTGCTTGCCTCGCATACACAAGGCCTTGGGTTCGATTCCTCAGCACCACATAAGCAGAAAAACCTGGAAGTGGCACTGTGGCTCAACTGGTAGAGCGCTAACCTTGAGCTAAAGAGCTGAGGGACAGTGCCCAGGCCCAGAGTTCAGACCCCATGACCAACCAAAAATAAAAATAAAAAGAGTAAAAAGCTAAGGAAGAGTGCAAGGCCATGAATTCAAGACCCAGTATCAGCACAGGAAAAAAAAATCTTACAAAGGGGAAAACCTAAGCCAAACATAAAACCTCAGCTTTTAATGCATCAGTCACTGCCTGGGAAAAAATTTAAAAAGAGCTTTTGACTTTCAGGTTGGACTGTACTTAGAAATTCACATTACTTTAATATTCATCAATCTAAATATAATCACCAACATGAACTTAATAAATAAGAATTAGAGACAACTACAACATAATGCTTTCTCATAGCAAATGGAATTGTTTTGTTCAGATTGGAATCTATTCCCAGTTTTCTGAAAAGAAATAAAAGTGTCACCATTCACATAAATCTTATGCAAAACAGACATGATTCTCTTGATTTACTAGATTAAGAAAAATGATGAGGAGAATGTTTTATCTACTCTGTGATGATTGAGTGCCAATGGGCTTTCATAGACATTTCACTGTGAAGTTTTACTGTTTTGGTTTTCTCCTTCTGGAAAGTTTAATTCAATTTACTGAACTTAATTTGTAATAATTTCTCAGTGATTACAGTTGAAAATGTATAATCTGTGTGAAGTGGTAACTGTATTCAATGAATATAATTTCCACTCAGTGATGAGAAATTCAGAGGAAACCACAATCTTCTCTAAGGAGAATGATTTTATTTTTCTGTGCATTAGATAACTTGCTACTTTCCTGAAGTAAAATGAGCCAGACTCAGGAAGAAGATTTTACTGTATAGTTTAAATGCTAAATTTAATGACAAGAAACTATGAGTAAAAATGCCTCATTGTTACATACAATCTTAGTTTTTGTTTTTTCACAATGCTAAAGAATGGAGTCAATTCATTTCATAGTAGAGCAATCACTGGGCAGTAGAAGAAATTTGACTTTCAACATTTATACGAAATAATTTCACACTAAATATACAAAGTTAACAAAGACTTTGATTTGCTCTAGGCTCATACAACATGGATTTTCTTGTTTCTGTATATGTTGAATTATTGATGAGCTATTAGTGTACATTTAGCTTGATTGTTCTCTCTTTATAAAATAACCACAAAATTGATGCTATCAGATGGGCCTTATGAAAATCCTTGTTGGAGAAAGTTTTAATAGGAATGGCTTCACATATATGATTCACATGTATAATTTGAAGATGAGGATTTTGGAAAGCAACTTCATACATAATTCTAATGTTATTTGTCATTTTTATACTTATTTCTGTTGAAAAAATGCAACTGTGGTGAGTGCTCATAAAAATACTTAATGGTCTTAGGAATCCATTTTACATTAAAACCAATGTAAAAATGAAATCCCCAATTATTAAACCAGATTGTAGTATGGATAGGAGATAAATTATATCAGGGAAAACTATAGAGCTATTCCATTAATTAATATGTTTAATAAGTTTCTTGATGTTTGTGCTGGTACTAGAGTTAAACTCAGGGCCTCTCACAGACTTTCTCACTCCAGTTGGTTTCAAATCATAGTCCTTAGAATTCAGCCTTCTGAGTAGCTGGAATTATAGGCATGGGCAATGGGGGCTCAGCTACTATATTGCTATATTGTGTGTGTGTGTGTGTGTGTGTGTGTGTGTGTGTGTGTGTGGTGTGTGTGTGTGTGTGTGTGTGTGTGTGTGTGTGTGTGTGTGTGTGTGTGTGTTCTAAGGCTTGAGCTCAGGGCCTGAGCTTTTTTGCTCAAGATCAGTGCTCCACCACTTGAGGCACAGCTCCACTTGAGCTTTTTGGGTTTGTTTGTTTGTTTTTGGTTATAAATTAGAAAAAGAGTCTCATAGACTTCCCTGTGCAAGCTGGCTTTGAACTGCAATCCTTAGTTCTTAGCCTCTTGAGTAGCTGAGGAAACAGACATGAGTCACTGGCACCCAGCTAGAGTTCTTTTTTAAAACAAAGATTGTATCTGTTAAAAAATGAAAATATATATTTAAACTATTTGGAAAAAAAAGCCATGGTTATCTAAGTTATATGAAATATACCTATATTTTAGTAAAAGCTTTCAAAACTCTGAAATAAATAGTGTAAGGTAAAATATTTTAATCTTATCTAAAAAAAATCACAGCATATTTTCTTCAAACATATTGCATCAACATTGTTATTTTCTTTGTCCAAATATGAGTACAATGTATTTCAATACTTTTATTTAAAAATACAAAGTTAAGGTCTAAAAACATTTCAAAAGTAGCTTTGACTATTAAATTAGAACCTGATGTAGCAGTAGTAGTTGTATTCCTATAACATCATATCACAGCAAACCAATGCCAAGAAAGAAGGCTTACTCTTAGTTGTTAAGTCTTGTTTTGCACATTCGCCTTCTGCGATGGATACATCGTCGATGGCGATGTCACCTTCTATGCCAGGGCCGCGGATACCTTCAAATATGAGCTACAAACACGAATGAGACACATCTAAATGTGGAGGTTTGATTTGGAGATGAATGTCTATAAAGAAACTGAGGAGACAAATGTAAACTCTTCAAAAACCCTACCCCCACTTTTATTTTTGATGTTTACACAGTTTTATTTACCAAAATCTCAAACTTTCCTAACATAATTGAAAATAGTAATCTCAGTGTAGTATTGAGTTTCATCAGAGACTTTATGTGATTTGAAAATTGAAACTAATTTTAATTAAACCAAATGATAAAGCAACTACAAGTGCTTATAGTTGCAATTCTCAGATTTAAGAAAATTTGAATGAGGTTGCTTTGTTTACAGTGGCTTTATGTTTATTTGCTGAAAGCCTGTAACAATAGTTTGCTATTTCTGACTTATTTGTATCTTTTGCAAATAGATTGAAAATCTCTTCATGTTCCTTAAATTCTCCTTAAGACTTAACTCTATGGTTTCATTTTTGATAACTTATTTTATATATTTTGAAGATATTTATGAGTATATTTATGTTGACTATGTAAGGGTAAACCTTTGGATTTCTAGTGTTTATGAAAGAATGGGCATTGACGCTTAATGCATTAAAAGACTAAGAGAGCATTAAAAGACTAAGAGACTGAAATCATACTGCCTTTATTACTAAATTTGGTACATAATAGCAATAGAAGCATAATTTGCATTTTTGTTTCATTTTTAAACAAATATGCTTTTAGAATTTTCTCTATAAACTAAATAATTCCTTGCTTGCATCAAAATGCCTTATTTTCGCTATTACGAGGTAAAGTATGTACTTAGTGATTTTTATTCCCAGAGAAATTTAAAAATAAAATAATAATTAGGTTTTTTCTAAAGAAAAATAATTTAATAGAGAATTTTTTCTAACATCAAACTGACATGTTCATTTTATAAAACTTATAGTCATATCATTTTAAGAAATGTGAGTGAAATTCATGTTTATCAATGTCAAAAAAATATTGTTTTTCAAAAGAGCTCCTAAACAATAAACTTGAGGTGTTTTCCAGGAATTCTGGTTGCATTTGAGAAACAAATCTATTGTCTTTCATATTTTATCAAAGAAAATTTCCTGTTTGTAATTATAGGCAAATGTATTGTACTGAATTTCTGTATTTTCCCTTCCACTTACAGGTATCCAAAAATATCTAATTTTCAAAATTTGACAGGAAACAAAGTGTTGAAAGTTTAATTTCTTATGGCATATAAGTCAAAAAAGATACAAATAATGATGCTATGAAACTCATATTTAAATATAACTTCTCTAGAAGAGGTGAAATAGGTGCAGCACTGATTTGTGAACATGGTTAAGGGGAGCCAAGAATACAATACACTTACGAAATTCTAACTCGATGGATAAGAGGTGCCTTTTACAAATGTTTGCTACAGTGTTGTCCCTTTTACTGGGAAGAGGAAAATCAGTTAGGACATGACTATTGGAGCAAGTGGAGAAGCCCAAATATGCATTGAGAAATAACCATGCACATCTCTTTGGAGAACATCAGGATCTAAATAAGTTTTACAACATCATTTTGCAATTATGAAGGTTACCTTTATTTATGTTTGTTTCAACAGATAATTGAACCTTTCCTCAACCTTTCTAGATGAAATTTGAAGAGAAGTGATCGAATAGTCCAATGCTTTTGTCCCAATAAAGCTATCCCAATATTAGCACTGAGTGTAATTTCACAAGACTGTCAGTTTAATTTGCTGAATAAATATCACTTGATTGTTAAAGCTTTTAATCTGAAATAATAACATGAGTTGACTTCCGGAGAAGATATAAAGAAACATCATATTGTGAGTGAGTTACTATTGAAAAATTTTTTCAATGGATAACTCCAACAGTCATTATGATGTCTAAATGATTGCCCTGGAATTTGGCTTACAACACCAGACATGAGTATAATGTCTCATGATAGTTAAGATATGTTCCTAATTATTGCTTTAATTAGTTAGAATATATTGACACAACGTAATGAGACCACTGCCAGTTCCTTTTTGGCCACTAAGTATATAGAAAGAGGACACTGTATTTTCATCACAATATTTCTATTTGCCTTCGATAGTAATTTTACTTTCAAGTAACCAAAGTAATTGGATGTACTCTAACAAAGGATTTTGTAAATTGTTGTATTTGGAAGAATTTATTGTTAAAATTAAGGGCATCTAGTACCAATCACATAAAAATTAGGATTGCTATTGAAACTGGGGCTCAAAGTAACATATCCTCTTTAAAACTCAAAGAAAGGTGAGAGATAATGTGTTCTATTTGAATTAAAGACATCTTGAAATTCCAGAGGTTTAAAAGGGAACAGTTTAACTTCTCACAATTTAATTTATATGGTAATATACTTGCATCTATTGTTTAATTTTGCTTTCCTGGAGGTATGGCATACCAAACCCAAGTATTTTAGAAAAACCTTGATAACTCATAAATAAATTTTGAGTGAAAAATACTGCTACTTTGTCTGATGATAGTTCAAAATAATAAGAAACAAAGTCAAAGAAAATATGGCATGACATGAGTGGTTGTTCATGTGTTTCCTTGAGGAATAAAAATTTCTGAAAATTAAATAAAGCCCTTAGTCAATGACCATCTGTTGGAAAACAAAAGAACACAGTTCAGAACAAAAATATAATCTTAGTTGTCTTGATTTTGTATCATTTTAATTTGCTAAAAATTGATTGACTCACAATCTTTACCTACTCCACATATAAAAGGTGAAATTTATCCTTCTTTCTGCGACAATCAGATAACTAGACAAAATGTGAGACCCTAGATATCAGAGAGTGAAAACAGTGATGCATGAGAGATGAAAGTAAAAAAAAACGAGATTATGATTGTTCTATTTATAGTTGTTAAGCTCTTGTTCAAGTAGACAGAGTCAAGGTGATACTCGGCAGAATTGAATGTAGCTGAGTGAGGAATGGAGGATATAAGGAAGACAGGAAAGAATAGAGAAAAAAATCTTACATAGCATTTCTTAAGAGGCTTAAAATGAGCTGATTATTTCCAAGTAACTTAATTATACCCTCCAAATCTTGCAGATGTCAGAAATTCACCCATTGCCAGCACCTATCTGGGCAAAACTGACAGTGTCTGACACTCAAATAATCAGATTTGCCTAGAAGCCTATAATGATGACTCAAAGGGAAGATAAATCAGACAGCTGAAACCAACCAAGGATCCAAGATGCTACTAGCACTAAAGACATAAAACACGTATGTTAAGTGGATTTACTATGCTCAAAATATTTATTTGTAAAATGACTCAAATTGAACTCATCCAGGATGAGAAGTCTAATGGCTGAGATGCAAAATTGAACTGAATAAGATTAAAGGCAGATAAAGTGTTGCAGAAGAAATGATTAATGATAATAAAGACAGAAAATTGTTCAAACAGAAACAAATGAAATAGTAAAAAGATAAAACGTGAACTGTACATCTCCTTCAAGGGTTTTTTTTATAGGTGTATTCAAAGTTGTCAAAGGAGACAAGGGAAAGTGAATGTACTGAAGAAATATTAGCCAGAAAGTCTTCAAATATTACGAAAATCACAAATCCCCGATCCAAGAAGTTCAAATAATCCCAGGCATATAAAAATGAAAAATATACTAAGTATATTTGTAATATAATTTTCCAAAACCAGTGACAAAGGGAAGAGCTCACATAATGTCTTAAAGTATAAAAATAAACACAACTACAAACTTGCACTAGAAACCAATGCAAACAAGAAAACAGTGGGAAAACATCTTTAAAATCTGGAATGAAAACAAAAACACTATACTCAGAAAAATTTTATTTTGTTCAGAAAGGATGATACACTAGATATTTTCAAAGTACAAAAGGCGAAAAAATCATGTTTTAAAAAACCACATTTCAAGATATCTTAAAGGAAGTCCTTCAGACAAAATAAAATTGACACCAAATGAAAATAAGTACATTTCATCTCTAAAAATTATTTTAAAAGGTACAAAGGACCCCCAAAATCATACTGCACTGAGAACCCACCATCCAAACAAAGTTCAATTTCTAAGTTGAAAGAAGAAAATCCAAGTACAGCAGACAGAGTTTTCCAATGTTTGGAATATTATGAATAAAGTATTCTTAATGTGAATGTTAATGTTAATGAAATGTGAATATGAATATTAATAAAATCCCTAATGTTATATTGTGAATAGCTATGATGATCACTGCTATCATCACTAAAATTTCTATGTTATCTTTGTAGGTATCTCTTTTATATGCAATCTCAGTAAAAGCAAAGAAAAATAGCTTGTTTAAATGTATGTGACTTTTATCATGAAAGTGATATACTACTGGAATGTCATTATCCCAAAGAGAAATATTTTGTTAAAGATATGTAAACTTCCACCAAATACAAATCACTCAGGCAGATAATTGATTACCTAGTGACATTATCCTAAAGTCCTGTATTATTTTTCCTTAGGGGAAATATATATGCAGATAATCTTACAGATTATTATTCTCACATATCTCTTGATAGCTGTTAATTAATGAAGGAAATGGACATTTCCTTCTAAAATAGCTTGTAGAACTAAAAGAATAACTTCACCATGTGATTTACATTGTGCTCATATCATGGAATTTCTAAATATGTGTATCTAAACTGTTTACATATTTGGAGCTCACCATTATTGCTGTGTTCAGACACAGCAAGCTACGGGTAGAAATGACTGCCCATTTCTTACCTGAAATGATGTGATTGGATATATATTAACATGTGCCTCGTTCCATCGCTGTCCTTTATTTCCACTTGAAGACCACAGCGGATTCTCTATTGTTGTCTGCCCTTTCAAGCGTAGGTAAACATTTAAAACACCTAAAAGTGGCAATGAAATTTCATTTTGTATATATACATTCACTTCAAATTTGTTTCTCCTTGACCCAGCACTGTCTAAAACAAATTCTGCAGAGCATTCTATTATCCCAGCTTCAAACATGAAATGATCCAAAGATAACCATATCTTCTTAATTCTTGCAACCAGCAAATATTATCTTACATTACCAAAATAAAGAGTTTTGACATGAAGAGTGAGGTTCTGTTCCTGTTCCAAATCTTTGGAGTAGTTTCTATGTGAAAAAAATATTTTTCTAATCATAATTAGATTAGATCTTTAAAGGCAAATAGTACTTGTTTTAAATCCAAAAGATACTATGATTGATGGAAACAAAGCCTCCAACTAGAAATTAAATGGTTTACTATGAACTTAGTAATAATTATTTTATTATCCCAATTAGTGCTTATTCTTTGGTACATTTCTTTAGTAATAATAAAAGCTATATTAACAGATAAATGGCTTTAATACATTTCCCACAGAATTTCTTGTCCTTAAGTTCATAAAAGAGAATTCAGTATCTAAAAATATACAAACTAACATCAGGTTCTCTTGGTCAACACAATTAAGACTTGTGAAACAGAGTAAAGATACTCGAGAGGTTAGATTTAGCCAAGCTGATTCAGCCCCATTATTGTAGCATTATAAGAAAAATAAAATTACAAAGTGACTGATTACATTAATACCATTTAAAACTAATTTTATCCTCAGAGACACCATGTTTTGGCTTTATTGGGCTCCAGATACCAAATGTATGAACTTAATCAACCCAAGTATCATTTTAGGTTATATAATTCTATGATAGAAGTTGTTGGTAGCTAAGCAAAACTTTCTTCCATTTTTCCTAATTCTCATCTTTAAAACCTTTTTTCTCAAGTCTCAGTTACTGGAGTTGGTGAGAACTTTGGTCATATAATGCATAAGAACAACAGACCAAGAGCTAAAAGTGTTTAGTGATATCCTATGTCATATGTAATAATTATATTTTGGGCTTCTTCACAGCATTTTGTAGTGGATTCATTTTATCATATTATCCTATATAAATTTTGGTATTAATTATTATTTGAATAAGTATTATTTATTTAACACCACTATGAAATAGTTTATCTTTCATGCATCCTGTATAATTTTGCTTTTACTCTTTTACTATAAATATAAGTTGTATACATTTTCAACAAATATATTAAACATCCACTAATAGGTAATTGCAATCCCAAGTACACATAAATACTTTTTTTATTCCAAGATGTAGAGATCAGTTGCACTTAAAGATCTTTTCTTTTTATATTCAATAACATAAACTCATTGATTTGAGCTACATAGTTCCTGAACAATGAGAATGTGCCAAATTCATAAAGTTGATAAATACATATTGATAGGAAATTATTAGTATTATTTGTTTTATACAAACATACAAAGTGATAAATTATAAAATCAATATTTTCTGTTTGAATAAAGTGACTTCAGTGACATAAGATTTGAAATTCAACTAGCTGCAGATGGCTCATGCCACTCATTCTAGCTACTCAGGAGGTTGCAATCTGAGGATCATGGTTCAAACACAACCCTTGCCATTAGACTCTTGTCTCCAATTAGGAACCAAAAGGCTGGAAGTGGAGCTGTGGCTCAAGTGCTAGAGTGCTAGCTTTGAGAAAAGCTCAGGGAGAGCACCCAGGCCCTGAGTGCAAGCACCAGAACTGGAACACACACACACACACACACACACACACACACACACACACACACACACGCACACAAGCATGCGTGCGCGCGCGCGCACACACACACACAGAAAAGAAAATACTTTGAGTTAAAATATTTGTTATGATTTTTTAATGGCATTGAAGTTTGAAATAAGGTTCTTGCACTTCTTATTCATTTTATCACTTGACCACTTAAGCTATTCCCCTTATCCCTTTTTAGTGTATTTTCAAATGTCTCATAAGTGTTTTTGCTTTTGCCTTGCTCAACCTGGATTACTGTTCCCTTACCTATACCTGCAGCATAGCTGAGGTAAGAGGTGCATAATCCACTGGCTTACTTGTGGACATGAGAGTCTCTAACTTAACTTTTTCTTTGTTTTTGTTGTTGTTGTTGTTGGTCATGGGGCTTGAACTCAGGGCCTGGGCATTGTCCTTGAGCATTTTGCTTAAAGTGAGTGCTGTACCACTTTCAGCCACAGCTCCACTCCTGGTTTTCTGATGGTTAATTGGAGTAAATAAAGAGTTTCATGGACTTTTCCTGCCTGGGGTGGTTTTGAACCATGATTATCAGAGCTCAGCCTCCTGAACCTCTAGGAGCCACCTGTGTCCAGCTCTAACTTTTTTGATTGGTATCAATCTGCAATCCTTCTCTCTGTTTGTAGCAGTTGGAATTACAGGTGTTAGCCAATACTCCCAAATTCACAATGACTCTTTTCTTTACATAAAATTAGTTTAAGAATGTATTGTATTGAATAAGTAGGAAAAAGTTATTACTGTGCTTACCATTAGTTCCATTGCACTATCTCTTAATGATAATGAAAAGTATTTGTATAAAATTAAAACTTAGCCTTTCTCAGCCAGTTTATTATCATTAATTTTGCTTAAATATATTAGCTTCTAGTATACATAGTTAAGGAATTATTATCAGTGAAGAATTAAATAGTAGGAAATAAGCTTATAGGTAAGTGATTTAAAACTAGGAAGTTAAAAAATACATTACTTAGACATTATTGATAGCTTTAATAGGAGACTACAACATGTCTAGAGTAAGATTTAACTCTAGCTAGTCACAAATCATGACTAAGATGGTATCATCTTCCTTTCTGTACCTCTCAGATAACAGCATTTCACTCAGTGATATTACCAATTTCCTACCTTGATGACATTACACTGTTGGTATTAAATACAAATAGGACTTCACTTAAACAACTGGCTGATTTTCAACAAAGATGGACTTCATTATAAACTAACTTCAAATAGTCAATAGTTGAGCTGTATTCCTAAACATTTAAATGAAGAACAGTAATTTTCATTATCTATTCCTTCAACTACTTGGAAAAAATTTGTTCTTTGCTAGGAACTGAATTTTGAGAAATTATCAATATGCAAAAATATTAAAATTGCACTTCTGGAGTCAAAAGAGTTAAATCCTTAAATAGGTCACTGTCATTCTAGATGATTTGCTTTAGTGTATTCAAATGTTTTCCTTTCCCAATAAACTTTGTACTATCTCTTTCAATATGAACAACAGCAATGAGTAAATTGAATTGAAGTAGTGGAGGGTCATAACAATGGTCAAACTCAAAGGAGAAAACTCCCAGTATGTTAGATTTCTTGTTTGAAGAATGTCATCCAGGCTCACTTGAATACAAATAAGCCTCTTGATATTCTTAATCCTAACCAGAAGAAACACAATCTTTGACCAGAATAGGAATCAAAGAGAGACTTCTGAAATCACACAACATCCTGTCACTTTGCATATACACATATAATATATATTGTATATATAGTGAATATATTTAATACAAGTTATTTCATCCTAGGATTTACTTAACAGGAAACAGATCTTCCACCTCACCTATGTGCTGTCCGTACATGTGATAAAAGAAGCTGAAGCAGTATGCAGTGTTTGTAGGTCCATAAGGATTTTTGGGAGCTATGCTGAAAACAGGGCTGAGAAGTCGAGCTTTTTCTCCTTCCAGTCTAGGCCGAGATGTCTCAATGTACATATAAAACCCTTAAAACAGATGAAGTAAATTGTTTAAACCCATCAAGCAACACAGAGTTACAAATCACTGAGAAGTTTTTGAGCATTTATACAAATTACTGTTTGATGGAAACCTTTGCTTCTCATTATAAGATGTGCTTTGCAGGGACACGACTAATGGTGGTTTAACAGAAAGAACAATCATCTACCTAAACAAAAATAAAAATGCATAAAAACTTGAAAGAAGCTAGTATTTTAGAAAAGAAGTTAAGCAGGAGGATTTTCAATTTTTTATGGATCTAATGATTTCTGGGCAAAAATATCTCGAAACTTTGGAAAAATGTGTATTATTGATATTAAACATAAACTATAATATTTTATTCTGTAGTATTCAAATGTATCGCTAGCTCCTCCCTTGTATTCAACATGAGTAATAGTTTTTAACGCTACTGGTTTGTCTGCACCCAGCACCACCCACACTCCATACCTTCTTTGGAACCTGAACGATCTGCATTAGGTCCTGTGTTAGGAGTATATTTTGTATTTCTTGTGGCAGTACTTTGCTTTGTCCAGTCAAAATTGTCTGTATCATCTTGAGTAAACAAACAAATATTACCGTCTTCAAATCCACAGTGAAATTCTCCTGTGGAGAAATTTTAATTAAGGTAAGTAATATAAAAATATGAACATCGTAATTTTATTCAAAACATTCAAACGTTCCGTGGTAAGAGTGTAAGATTGTGAGACTATCATGAAAACCTTAATAATGGGTTCTATAACAGTAAACCATTGTACTTTAAATGAGAAAGTAATAATTCTGTTCATATATATCAGACAAACTGTGACATTTCCATACTTGCATATAATGTATTATATTCAGTACTTAACTTATTTTTCCCTAACCTTCCCTCACTGCCCTTTTTTCTTTAAGATCCCCAATAATCCCTTTTTAGCCGAGTATAATTTTTATACATAAACCAGCGCCTTATTGAATAATAAAGTCCCAAACTTTTTTCTCAGAAATATTCAAATAACTTACATAATATAATTCACACCTGAATAATAATAGAATAATATTTTAAAGATAATTAACATGAGTTATATATCTTTTAGATAGGCTTTTTTTTTTTGTTTTCTCCTTTGTAGAAATAAGTTTGCCTAGGCTAGGGCATTAGCAAATAGTTGTGAGAGGCAATCATCACACATACTTTATTTGAATATCGGTTTCTCTGATGTTGGAAATTCACTTGAAATGACTGTCATAAAAATACTTTATAAAGACCCTAAAAAAGAGTCTAAGAAGGACAGTAGTTTATTGATTCTACCATATGCTAAGCTCCATGACAATCAAAGTTCAGAGGGAACTATTTTTTGAACTTTCTGTGAAATATTGATGAGCAATATTTCTAGCTATCAAGTTTTTTTAAAAGAACATTTGGATAAACCCTGTTTGAAGATGAGTCTAAATAAACAAGTTAATAAAGTATGCCTACATCATTAACTGAGGAAAATTAAACATAGTATTCATTTTTTACTCAGCTTAATAAGATGTTTATGAAATCACAATAATCAGTCATGCGGCTCACAGAGGAGAAAATGTGGTCCAATAATGATTAAATAGCAGATGTATAGCAATTCAGGGAAATACAAACATCTAAGGAAAGGAAACTGTTTTTGAGAATCTTCTACCCCTGGAAAAGGCATTTATTTAAATACATCAACATAAAATGGTATCTATCTCTATTATAGGTCATATGCTTGTAATAATGAAAACAATTGTTGCCAATAAAATAAAACAGAAACTTTCCTTCTAAATTTAAGGAATATAAATATCAACTTTCTAAGTAAGCTAAATATTTTATGAGGGAAGTACAGAAATTCAAAAAATGAAAACCAAAGACAACAAAATATGATAAGCAATTCAATACATATAAATTTTCACAGATGGAATATCAAACAAAATGAGAAATTTATAAGTACGAGAAATTTATAAGTATTAATCACTGGTTTTAATTTTTATCATATCTTTTAAAATTTAAACTTAACATATTATGGCAACTTTGCTATTTCAAAATTATTGTGTTTCAAACTAGATAAGAATATTGGGTAAATAATCCTTGTTTATTTATATACATTGTATTTTTCTTAATTATTGAATACATTGATTTTGAACAAGTATATACTTACTCAAATGAGGATTTACAGGTGCTACAAAAAAAAAGAAATAAACAACATTAGCAAAGCTTGGATGCTTTCATAAATGGAAGTCTTGTTTCATCTTATGGTTTCTTACTCAAACTAAGTTATCCTCCCCATGGTGATCTGGGAAAATTATAACTGCAATCCATTTAGTTCTGAATGAAGTCTACTTTGGAGCTCAACAATAACAACTTCAAATTAAAAAAAAAATAAAAAATAGACCATGCTAAATAGTATGTAGAATTTGTTCATTTTTCTAATGAATGGAGTTTCTAACCTTTTATATCTTTACCTGTGCTAAACAGGCTTAATGATGAAAACAATTATCCAACAAGGTATACTTTCTTTCTTTAAGTTACCTACTTTGCTAAGCATAATATAACACATATGAAAATAATATTACCTTCATATTATGTCATGTGTCCTGCAGTAAATAGCTACTTGTGTTAATTAAATTAAAATGCATACACAGACACCGTTCACAAGTGATAGTCAATATATTTTGTAATATAGTGAACCTGAAGAAAGTATTTCAGGAATCAATCTATGTTTCCTGAAATACAGTACCAAATGAGTTTTACCAAATGGGACTTCAAATTTTAGCAAAATGTTACAAGAATATAGCTATTCTACAAGATAAAATATTATGTGTATGTACTGGGTAGGCATTTCTCTGTGAGAAAATTCCATTTCAGATGGGTAAAGAATAGTAGTTTTTCAAAATTGCAGGATGCTGTTTATGTACCCTATATAAACTGGTCCACTTGCTCATTTTCATGGTTTGCCCTCACCTATCTTTATAAAACTTGTATATTACTAGTAAAGTAGATAAGCAAGTGCAGAAGTGCATAAAACATATTTATTCTTATATTAGTATAGTTAAATCAATATTAATATTAATCGATCACTTTTGCTCTTCATACATAGAAAAGACAATTCCCATTACCTTACTTGATTATTTAATTCTGAATCTCACTTTTTATATTATGAATTGAATAACAAAGAAGAACATATACACTCATTAGCTCTCTTGAAGCTGAACTTAAAACGAATAGTTTCAATCAAATTGGAATATTAATTTAAAAATTAAAATAATTTTATATTTAAAGTAATTATGATACTGTAAAAATTCTATGGTCTTTTTCCAATGAAAAATCTTTAAATTATAATTCATTTCTATGACATGTTATATCGCTCTCTCATCTCTTAGTAGATCAAAATATCATTGGGTCTTCTGTTACACTATTGACTAAGCTTAATTTGAAAATTTGCAATGTTAAGTTGTAAATATAGCACTAAGTCCAATAATGTTCTCTTTCATTTATATTTTCTTATGCAATTTGTTACACATGCCTACTACAGATTGAATTATGTTCACTCTGTGTGCAGAAGCTTAATCCCTCCTGTGACTATATTTAAGAGAAGCCATTAGGAAAGTAATTAGGGTAAATAAGACCATAAGGCTAAATAAGATCATCAGGATTAGACTGTAATCTAACGGATTGGTTTCTATGAAGTGGAAGAGATATTAAAAAAACTTTCTTCCACATGAGGCACCTCAGAAGGTGACCATTTATGAGCCAGGAAGAGAGCTCTGGTCAGAGATTAATCTTGTTTCTTGATTTTGAACTTCCCTACTTTGACAAGTGGGAGAAATAAATGTCTATATAATCCCAACACTTGGTTTTTCCTATGGCATCCAAAGCCAATAAACATAATGACAATGAATATCCTACAAAATTAAGAAAAGTGAGGAAAAGTATAGGATGGGGCTATGGGTAAGAATATTGAAGGGGATGCTGACTGAGATACGTTGTAGTCATAAACTGCTTTCCTTGAATGGCAAATGTTTTGCACAACTATGTAATGATAATAAAAATATTTTAAAAGTATCTTTTACCCAAATCTTTATTGTAATTAAATATTTAACATTTTAATACTCATGCTCAAGAATTTAATTGTGCTTATTAGTAACTGCTTTACCACTTGAACCCCAAGTGGTAGTTTAGCTGCTTTTAAGTTAAGGTCTTTAACTTTTGCCCACACTGACTGTAATCTTTCTAATGGTTCCTGGAATTATAGGCTAGAACCCCCATGCTTAGCCCAATAATAATGCTTTTCTATTACATGATGATCTATAAATACTCCATTCTACATTAGACATCTTAAGCTATTGAAAATGTTTGTGTATAAATATTCTACTCTACATTAAGCATCTTGAATTTTAGAGAGGATTGAATATGGATACAAAGGATTTTTATGAGTTCCCAGTGGGGTTTTTTTTGTCAGTAGTGGGGCTTGAACTCTGGGTTTAGGCAATGTCCTTCAGCTCTTCAGCTCAAGGCTAGCGCTCTACCACTTGAACCACTACTCCACTTGCGGTTTTCTGACTGGTTTATTGAAGATAAGAGTCTCACAGACTTTCCTGCACCAACTGGCTTTGAACCACCATCTTCAGATCTCAGCCTCCTGAGTAGCTAGGATTACAGGTGTGAGCAACCAGCATTCAGCTCTATTATTTTTTTAAGTTAAGCTTCAATAAGAAATGATAAGATTGATAGTTTTTGAAGGAATGAAGTAAATACGAAAATATTAATCATTGATTCTTTTAACCCTAAATCATACTGTAGTAATATTAGATACTTTAATTAAACATTACAAAAGTTCAAGATATCAAATATTTATCTTTTTAGAATACATTAACCTAATAATCTGCTTGTTGTTATTCTCTTTTGAGTTATTAATTCTAGAAAAATACTACAGATCAATTTTTCTTTTTCACATTTCTACTCTCTTACATTTTCCTCAAATAGGATATTAGAGTTGAAGTTTTTTTTGTTTTTTTTTTGGGTCCGGTCGTGGGGCCTGAACTCTGGGCCTGGGTGCTGTCCCTCAGCTCTTCAGCTCAAGGCTAGCACTCTACCACTAGAGCCACAGTGCCACTTCCGGCTTTTTTCTTTATGTGGTGCTGAGGAATTGAACCCAGAGCCTCATGCATGCAAGGCAAGCACTCTACCACTGAGCCACCTTCCCAGTGAGTTGAAGTATTTTATGCATATAACGTATAATTGATAGCATTCAATTATCATTAACACCCCCATACAAACATTTAGACAGCTGTAACATTAACAATCTTAATAAAATTCACCACCACCACCAATAACAACAACATAGCAACTCAACATCTATAGTACCTTTTAGTGTGTGAAAAGATAAACAAAAGGTATTTGCAATGGAATATTAACATCTAAAGAAATGAGCTATTAAACCACAGAAGACACAATTTAAGTGTGCATTGTTCAGGATAATGAGTGAGTTCAGAAATGTTACTTATCCTACCTACACAATTTTGTGGCAGAGCATATGCTACAGGGGCAGGGAGTGACCTGCAGTTGCGGCCATTGGGTTGATGTAGAGATTAAACCACAGTAATGGGATTTTTAGAACAAGGAACGTGTCCGATATCCGACTGAAATAGTAGATATGCATTAAACACTTTTCAAAATCCATATGATGCACCAATATTCATTAATCGATTGTAATACATTCCCTCATTCAAGTAGGATATTCATAGAGGAGAAACCACATGGGAGAGAAGCTGCATGAACTTTCTGTTTATTTTTTTTTATTAACTGAAAATCCCTCTAAAAGTGAAATACATTCATTTTCATCTAAAACCCATGCAAATATTTTTTATCTTTTTATCCTAACTTAATAATGATAAAAGTTTTTAAATCACCTTAAACACATATACTTCTACATACATATAGTGATCAAATTTGTAGAATAAAAAATAAAGGGATATTTTTGATATCCTCACGTAGCTTCATGGTTACTGTATCTCTACATTGGTAACCAAGTACTGATATATGGTGATTAGAACTTTTTTTTTAGTTCTTTGATTGCTTAATTGCTTTTGGTCATCTGATTGGTGACCCAGAAACCACTTTATTAAATTTTACTTGGACCTAAATTTCTTAAATAAGTTTTTTTATTATGAAAATACTGTATAGAGGGATTAGAGTTACATGAGAAAGGTAATGAGTACATTTCTTACCAAGCATTGTTGCCTCCTCCTTTGTTTTTCCCCTACCATCCCTTCCCTTCCATCTCCACAGCTACAGTCACATCTCTCCCAACCCCAAATCCCTCTCCCTCTTCCCCCCTCCTAAATGTAAAGTTCGTTTTTCGACATAGCGACTTGTACATCTCATTGTTGTAATGGGTCAACTCATATCCCGATTTAAACAATTGGTTTTTTCCCTTCCCCTCCCCAAATTATACCAACATCAAATACAGTGAAAACAGGGGTTATACCGTGGGGGAGGGACATACAAAGCAACAAAAAAAAATCACATGGTACCTTATAAATATGTTAGAAACAGTAGCAATAAAGAAAAACCACTTGTGTCCTTATCTTGGGTTCATTTCGTTTAATATCATCTTATCTGACCTTTTCCGCTTGTCTCAGACATATACAAGTTATTGCAAATAAGGGAAACCATGGGATCTATGTTTCTTTGGGCCTGGCACTTAATATAATTTTTTCCAAGAACAAATGCTGAAGGGGATGTAGCCAGAAGGGAATGCTACTGCATTGTTGGTGGGAGTGTAAAAATGTTCAACCACTTTGGGACGTAGTATGGAGGTTCCTCAAAAGAGTCCACACAGAGCTCCCCTATGACCCAGCAATCCCACTTTTGGGCATTTATCCAAATGATCACAAACAAGACCACACTAACGCTACCAGCACAACTATGTTTATCGCAGCGTTATTTATCATAGCTAAGATATGGAACCAACCCAGATGCCCCTCAGTAGATGAATGGATCAAGAAAATTCGTACATATACACAATGGAATTCTATGCCTCCATCAGAAAGAATGACACAGCCCAATTTGTTAGGAAATGGAAAGACTTGGATCTAATTTTTTTTATGTAGTTTCAAATTAAATATTCCAAGAAGTTGAATATAGTCTAAAGAAAAGGCTACTTACCACTATATTTGATCACACGAATGGTTGAATCTCCTTCACCAAATTTAGTGAGAGGAGTCAGTCGGACCTCATAAGCCTCTGGTTTAATTAGCTCAGTCAAGTTATATGTAATTAGTTCTCCCTTTTGAATATTCCCATTTATTTTAATCTCCTGTTCCCACCATCGTTGTTGTCCAGCCTGAAATTAAAATAATTATGAAATAATATTCCCAGTATTTTCTTCAAGGATATTTATTGTATACAAAGAAAATTTAAAAACCTGTAAGTTTATTAAATAAGTATATTGTACTACATAATACATTTTATTAAGATTGAAGTTTCAATGAGAAATTGTCTGAAGATAATTGTCTGAAGATAATTGTCAAATTATCAGAGATTAAATATATGCAATTATTTTAAAGCTATTATGTCACTATTAGGAAAGAGTCAGGAGGTGCAAATGTGACATAAATTCGACAATTTTTATACTATTTTAGTAGAATATAAAATTCTTGAATACCTCAAACTTTTTTGTATGTGTTTTGTTAATACCAGTGGCTATGATACAGTCTAAACATTAGGATTACACAACAGAGAAGACTCCTTCCTTAATTTTTTAATTCTATTAAAAAGCAGCACAAAATAAAAATGAAATTATTATTTACTATAACAATATAATTTCAAATAATCAATATGCAATAAAGAAAAAAGTTAAAGCAAGAGAATACAGTATTAAAATGTTAGTGGTAAGGGGTCTCTTATTTTGAGGCGTTCAGAAGACAGTGTTATAGGAAGGATGCTTGTATGTTATGTAAGGTGAGACTAGGAATTTACCATTGGATTTGACAAGATGGACCAGACTTCAAAACGGTACAGTAAAGCAATGAAGATGTAACTCTGACTTAACAAGTTAAAGAAAGAATGGCTTCCAACTACTTCTCACACTGAAGTAGTTTTTATAGAACAGTTACAAAATCTTCCGGAGATTCACAAAAGGAAAAAAAAAGCCCCTCATTTAATTTCATTTAATTTAACTATAAAACCTTAAAGAGAGTACCAAAAAGGAAAATTACTTATATAGAAACCAAATTCATCAAATTTTATCTATCATGTTACATTCAGTTTGGGTAATCTAAAAAGTGAGCGAGAATTGTTTAACCTTAAGAAGTATGTTAATTTAGTTATCCAATAAGATATATGTAAATATATATAAATATATATATTAAAGGGAGAAAAATTAAGGCTTATTTATTACTTTCTAAGGTGATTGATACACTAGACAAAGGAATTTGATAAATCAGATAACTAAGATTGAACAAAGATCTACTAAATGCTTGTTTCATAATGCTTGTATTTTAAATCTGGTCCTCTTAGTATCACAAATGAGTAAATAATAATCACTAACATCTAATTACATATATAGTGAGTGCAGCAGTAAAAGTGAAATGATTCTGTTTGTCGTTATATAAATGAGCATTGATCTATCAATTTCTCCCCTCCTTTGCATCTCTCTCTCTGTATCTCTATCTTTGTCCCTGTCTCCCTCTCCCTCTCTCTCCTGATTTCTTCCATATATACATATTTATTTAGTCTTCCCATTTACAAATAAGTAATATCTTTTCTTTTAAATCTATTATCTAGTCTTCAAAGATCTGTTTGATATTTTAAATTGTTAATTTAAGTTAAATATTTTGCTAGTTTTCACAACACTCATGGTTATTTTTTAACTTATATTCAACAGTGTGCATACATATTTAGATACATGAAGGACATGTATACATGAAGGACACTTGTCTTTAGATAAAAAATTTTAATATAAAAATACATGATGTATGAAAGTGATTGTGTGACATAAAATTCTATAACAAGTTTCCTGGGGACATAGAAGTAATGTCCTTACTGATGCATCTTTGCTCTGGCTTGTTCCTGAGGGCATCAATGGTGTCATTCACATTGACTTTGTGAAACACTTTGAAATGGCAGATTAAAGTGAAGAAACTACCTTCATTTGGACTGGCCTTGGGTTTTCATCCTTCTCTGCCTCAGCACTGTCAAACTGTTAAAAATCAAAGTTCACGTTGGTCTGAATTGGTGAACAGCTGAGGGCAAAATCTTTCGATTATAAATTTTGCTTATCTAAAATTCCCGTTTCCCCTTAGCTTTCACATGGTCATCTCTCTCATCTCTTTCTCTTTGTCTCTTACTTTCTTTTCTCACTTTCTCTCTATTGCTGACCCTCTCTTCTTTATAGACACACACATACACACGCACATGCACACATGCACACATACATTTATCCATGCATGTGAAATATACACCATTTTGTACATGTTTACTCATGCATGTACACAATCCTATCTATATCTGTGAGTATGTATATTCATGGGTATGTTATCCACAAATCTATAAATTGGTTTTGGAGGTGTGCATTAGTTTAAATTATATATCCCAGATGGCTATTCTGGTGTAAATGACAATCTCCAATATGTTTTATTTAATGCAGTCATACAAATTATGAACAACTGTAAATCTATTGTGTTGTATACTGGGTCATTATTTCAAATATCATATAGAGAAGTCAATCTCTCAAGTGAATCAAATACTAAATTAAAAAGGCAAATAGAAAAGTAAAATAATGCTTGCTGAGATTTAAATATTATTCAACAGAGATATGTTTAAAACCATTACATTTTAATTGTTAATATAGACAAGGTTATGTTTGTATACATCAGTAAAATTAAATTAAAAAGTTTATAAAAGATAATTAAAAATATGACTTCAGGGATTACACTGATTTGGTACACAAGAGAAGAGCACAGATCATACAATAGATAAATTAATCTTAAATTTGGTTAATATTCAATTCTAATATTTTCAGTGGAAAATTTGCTCACATGAATACTTCTCCTTAAACAGGATGAATATAAGCCAGTGTTTGAGGAAGATAAGGGCAATATATAAAATTACACAGAATATATTAAAATCTCTTAGCTGTGTCAATGCTCATGTGGGCTGAGAGCAGGACCATGAAATTTCCAGCTCAATCAAAAAGTTGTGAGACACTATCTCAAAGGAAAAAAATGAAAAGAAGGAAAGAAAATGCATAAAGAAAAAGAAAAAATGAAAGACGGAAATGCAAAGGACAAATAGTAAAGGGCAGGGCTGGAGGAGGGACTCAAGTAGGAAAGTGACAGCCTCCCCAGCATGAAGGCATGAGAACAAACCCTAGCATTGAAATTACCAATAACAAAATCAAAACAATCATAGAGCAAAAAGGGAATTCAGTAGCAGAGAGAGCAAATAAGAATATACCTTACACCAATAAAGCTAATTCACTAAGTAACTAACTAGCCAACAAACAAACAAAGTTACCCTCTACTTCTCGATGAATCTAGTAAATAGAAATTAAATACAACCATATATTCTAAAACCTGATAGACAAATACTAAATATCTGCTGGGTAGACAGTACTAAAGACTATCAATACCAAACAATGTTTCTTTATGATGATCAGATCTAGTGTGTAGGGGGGTCAGATATGAATGAGATTTTACCCTCTTTATAAGCTAGCAAATTGCAAATGTTTCATGGATATTAGTGCAAAATTGGAAGCCACTGCCCAAAGGAAAGGATTTCTGATACCGTAGAGGGCATATTCTATTTGATGGCATTTGTTTCTTCGGTTTGAGAAGTCACCATGGTAATAACAGGCCTTGATTGTTTAGCAGAGGACTAAGAACTATGGGCTAACAAATGCTTTTATTGTATAATTGACAATACCAAAACCTGTCCACAACTTTGTTTTATATTGGCTATGTAACTTTTCCATTTAAGGGCACAAACATTCTGAGGATGTTTCTGGGCAAATGATCTTGAAATGGTTAGCTATAGTAAAAGGGCAAACAGCAGAATTTCAAGAGATCTATGAAAGTTATCTCCTCAAAAATCAATTATGTAAAGTGGTAAAAGGATGCCAGAACAATTCAACTATGAAAAAAATGTGAAGTGTTGTAGACACTATGGAGAGTGAAAAATAGTATAATTCTTTAAAAAGACTAACCCAAACCTCAACAAAATAAGTACCAGGAAATGGGTACTTGCAAGAGTGAGGGTGGAGCCTAGGGGAGACAATAGAAGGAAGAAGGGAAAAGGGAGGAGAATGCTCACAAGAATTAATTGAATATACTACAGAAATATAAGGGAATGGGTGGGTTGAAGAGGGTTGAAGATGTTGAAGGGATGACAGATTTAGATACATTGTACACATCAACTGCTATGTTAAATGGTAAAAAAAATACTTAACCTAAAATTAAGAGAGTGAGGGAGGGGGTTGGTTAGGAGGGGTAGAAGAGAATTGATCAAGATGCACAGTATTCAAAAGCTACCTCAGTGACAGGCAATTTCTTTGTACAACTACTAAAAGATTACAAAAATACTCAAAAATAAAATAAGTTTCAACTAAAAATGTGTAAATGTGAAGTTAAACACTTATATTTGGGGACTGGGACATTTTTGACATAGAAACTTAAAAAAATGACATAAAAACCCATCAATAAAGTGTTGCAATAGATTATAAGCAATCCATAAAATGGAATGCACAGTATAGCATGAGAAAAGGAAATAGAGCTCTATACATTAGCATGTATGAATTTCAGGAAAGAAATAATGAGTTAATATCCATTTTTTTGGTTGGTTGTGGGGCTTGAACTTTGGGTTTGGGCGCTGTCCCTGAGCTCTTTAGTTCAAGGCTAGTGCTCTACCACTTGAGCCAAGGCACCACTTGTGGTATTCTGGTGGTTTATTGGATATAAGAGACTCATGGACTTTCCTGTTCAGGCTGGCTTTAAACCATGTGATCCTCAGATCTCAGCTTCCTGAATAGCTAGGAGGCATGAGCCACAGGCACCTCGCTAATATAATAATTGAAGCAAATATATTTTAAACTCTAAATTTAAGCCACACATTTTGAAGAGGAAGACAGATTTGTATTGGAATATAAATAAATGCACGGGAATAGCAAACACACTAAGTTCAGGATATTGGTTGCACAGGTTAAGGTATGTGAATAGAAATGAATGGTCAGTATTCATTAGTGATAAACAAGGGACCTCAACCTAGTTAGCTAATTTTTGTTCTTTTAAATTTGTGGTAGATATACAAACTATGATTACATCACTGGGCATTCAGGAATTATTTGTC